AGTGTCATAATAGAGTGTGCCGGTGTGTCACTGTCGGAACCTACTTGTGGGCACCTAACAACATTTTACCTCCCTGGGTTCAATATCTGTTGTAGTGGCTACACAGATCTCACGAACAAACTTCATGAGGAAAGGGCTTTTTACGGACGCTCACAGGTTGTCATGCCTCCAAGAAATGCTCAGGATCGAGCTGTTCATCAGGACGTGTTACAAAGTTCATTCAGGTGTGTTCATCAATGCCCCAAAGGGCAGACCACGCTCCTAAAGCCTCATCCCAAAGGCCGTCAGTTCAAACTCTGTGGGTCAGCAAACCCAGCTCCCTGAATCAAGTGCCCAAAGGCACCCCACTCCAGTAAGCCTCTGTCCAAAGGCATCAGCTCTACTGTTGTGGGTCAGCAAATCCAGCTTCCCCAATTTAAGTGCCCACAGGCACCCCACTCTGCAAGCCAGCCTCCTGCACAAAAGCACTCTGCTTAACTTGCTCTGTGGCTTGGGTAGTTCACCGCTTCACTCCTGGCACGTGCTGGGGTTGAGATCTCTCCTCCTGCTTCTCAGAGGAGGCCCATTTTATACACAGCAGGATAGCTCTCCAGAGAATCCTGTGCACAATTACATACAGGTAATTCCTACCAGTATCTTACCTCCACCTTCTTACCAGACCCACGCAGGGAAAGGTCGTTTGGCAGGAGTTAAGGACTTGGTTGGAAGAGTCACATAATAATTCACAGTTCCTGCAGCAGGAGCGTCAGCATTAGGGAGGCCAGTGGTGCTGGATTTTGTTCGCTCTTGGGCCCCAAGTGCCTGGATTGTAGTCTGGCACATAGTGGGTGTCCAATGAACAAAACCCTGTCTCAGAGCCTCGTAACACTGGGCAGACTGTGTGTATACTGGTCCTCTACAGCGTCTCCCAACATTTAGTAACTTGAAAGGACAGCAAAACCAGACCTGCTGCCATCAGTTTTGGCCCATGGACCCTGTAAGACAGTAGAACTGCCCCATCGGCTTTCAAGGCTGTGATCCTTATAGAAGCACAGTCCCGTCTTTCTCCCAATGAGCCGCTGGTGGGTTCAAACTGCCCATCTTTCCCTTAGCAGCTGAGCAGAGCGCTTAACTGCTGCACCACAGGTGGCCAAAGCCTCTTTATGATGTTTCTCTGGGTCAGCGGTGGTCTCAGTATCTGTCTCCCTCAAGACAGAGCAGTGTTGTTCAGGGCTGCAGTTAGCTAAAGGCTTGACTGGGGTGGGGTTGGTTTCAGAGCTCCCCCGCTTGGTTGTGGGCTGGAGGCTGCCCCTCAATTCCTCATCATGTGGGCAGCTCCCAGCTTAGCAGCTGGCCTCATCCGAGTACGCTTAGAGAGAAGAGCCAGAGGGCTGACAGATAAACCATCTTTGCAACTGAACCTCCGAAGTGACGACATCTCACCCTCTTTGTTAGATGGACAGCTAACCTCAAGGACAGCCGTTTGAAACCATAAGCTCCTCCTCAGGAGATGAGGTTTTCTACTCCTTAAAGAATCACAATCTTGGGAACCCACAGGGGCAGTTCTATCCTGTCCTACGGGGTTGCTCTGAGTCAGAATTGCCTCAATGGCCTTGAGTTTTGTTTCTTAGAACCCAGCCTGTATGTCCAGACCACCCTCAAGGGCAGGAAGACTAGGAGGGAAGGGGCACAGGGCCCCCTTAGAGGTACATTTTCTTGTTGTGTCCACGCATCTGAACACCCAACACAGAAGGCACAGACCAAATGCCTACGGATCAGCAGATGATGACAACCCCAAACCCACTGCCATCAAGGAGATTCTGGCTCATAGCAACTCTACTTGGAGCCGTTGAGGATTTGCAAATCTTTATGGGGCAGACAACCTCACCTTTTTTTTAAAACCGCACCTTTCTCCATCAGAGTGACTGCTGGGTTTGAACCATTGACCTTGTGGTTAGCAGCCCAATTCTTAACCAGCAGCGCCACCAGATTACGAGGAAGGTTACTGGTGGTGGGAAGCTTGTAGGACAGACAATACAGGCTGCCGTCAGCTCTTAATTACAGCTCTTCCCTTTGGGTGGTGTGATAGTTATATAATCTGTTGTCAATTTGAGAGGATAAAGAGTAAAGGGGTGTTGAGTCTGTCAATCAGGTCATAGTTTGATGACCTCATTTGGAGGCACTAAGGAGATAAATAGCTCACTGGAGGCGAGATATGGGCTCACTCCCTGGGAGACATTGCAGCTGACAAGACATGGAACGACGCTAGTACCCTGAGCTGAAGGAGTCCCATGGAGCCCTCTGCCTGCCAACGCTGATGCTTACAATCCTACTGGATCCACAAGACTTCCCACCCACTGGCCTGTGATCTTCCTGCATCCAGCATCATTGCATGTGTTTCATGAGTCTCAAGAGGACTTTATAGATTGGTATTGGACATATGGGCTAATATCAGATTTATGGACTTGATCTGTGATCCGGACTGGGCTGTTTTCTCGATAGTCAATTGCTCTTGTATATAAAGTTCTTATACACCAGTGTCTATAATTTTGTTTCTCTAGTCCACCCAGACTAACAGGTGGAATGGCCCCTTTGTAGGCGTGTCTCACTGACCCACCCCCAACCACTACCTCCCCCACGGAGTGCAGGAACCCAGCTAATTCACTTTGGGCCTTTCCCACAGTTCTCTGCATGGAGCAGACCAACAGTAAATATTGTTGAATGAAACGAAATTGTTGACACTGCCTCATCAGGGACCATCCACCCCCAGGCCCAGAGGAGTGGTTAAACGTGGCCTCTGCCTTTGAACCCTGGTTCTGTCACTTACTTGCTGTGACCTGAAGCAAGTTACTAACTTTTCAGAGCCTCGGTTTCTTCCCATGTAAAGGGAAAATAAGTGGACTTGCCTCACGGGATTACTGTAAGGATGAACTGAAATGAAATATTTAGGGCACTTACAACCACAAATAAAACCAGCAACACTGCTCTCAAGTTGATTCCGGCTCATCGTGACCCTGTAGGGCAGTAGAATGGCTCTGTAGGATTCCCAAGGCTGGAAATCTCTCCAGAGCTTGACAGCTACATCTTTCATCTGCACTTGTGCAAGCCTTTGAACTGCAAACCTTTACATAAGTGGCCATGTGCTTAGCCACTGAGCCTCCTTTAAGACCTTAGTACAGAGCTTAGGAGTCCTGGCGGTGTAGTGGGTTGTGATCCACAAGGTCGGCAGTAGCTCCCTGGGAGAAACACTGCGCTTTCTACTCCTGTAAAATTAGTCTCAGAAACCCACAGGGGTAGCAGTCGGCACTGACTCCATGGCAGTGAGGGCACAGAGCTTAGCACAGGGCAGCAACTCCATAAATCTCAGTGTTTCTTACAGGCCCCTCTCCTTCTGGCACCCTGCCCAGACTCCCTTTACTCCTCACCTAGTTCTCCACCCACTGGCTGGCAGCTGAGTTAGCCGGGTCAGTCACTGGTGGCCTCCTAGCCCATCTCCAGGCTCCAATGCTGCACCGTCACGGAAGCTTGTTCCCTGGCAACCTGGAGGGCAGGTCGCAGGACAGGAAGTGGTTTTGCTCCCGTGGATCCAGTCCCTCTTCCCAACAGCAGAGTCTGGCAGAGAATAGCCTGTGTTCAACACTCACTCACTGACATGCCCCACAGCCCAGATCTCATGGGCTGACAGCGCCATCTGTTGACTCCAACACGCACTTCAGTACCTAGAAAGCAGCCTTGGCCAAACTCTAATTAGCCCAACTGCAAAGCACCAAGTGTCTTCATCTCACACCTACCTTAGCAATACAGAACATTAATGAGAGCTACCACGGGTGCCAAGCACTCTCACAAATACCTGAGGTATGTCTTCATGGCCATTTCACCGATGGGGCAACTGAGGTACAGGGTGGTTAGTGCCTCAGCCCCAAGTATACAACTAGATTTCCAAGTCTGGCAGACTGGCTGTACTCTGTCCTCCGAAACCAGTCACTTTGCCTCATGTACCTGGAGAGCGCCCCCCCCATGCAGGAAGAGCTACCATAGGGACAGTGGTGTTAACCAAGACCCTATCTGAGTGACCCACATCCACTGGGAGAGCTGTCCAGTCCTTGAGGTGGGAACTGGACACAGCCCCTGGTCAGTGTGGCAGCAGGTCTTTACAAGTGACGCCCTCTGAGGCTCCACTTCTTCCTAGGGCCTTTAACCTGGCTGGGAGGGTTGCATGAGAGAATAGTCCCTGATTCAGGTGGCCCAGCCCCTCCCCAGATCACTCACCTTTATCACACTTAATACTGCAATTTAAAACCAAGGGGTGGCCTACTTCCTTCTTAAACCTCACCTGCTTTTCACCTTCTCTAAATCGTCCCTTTGTGAACTACCTGCGTGCCCCCACCCAATGCCAGGTTGTTTGACAAATATACATTACTCAGGGGATTGGACTGATGGATTATAACAGGGCCTGCTTGCTATTTAACAAAGAGATACTCATCTATTCTGGGACATAAGTTAGACTTGGAACTATTTAAATATATGTACATATAGACACACACATTACTAACATATATCCCCACCCCCACCGAGTCCTCATGGAGCCAACAGGTAAGTGCTCCAGCATTAATGGAACGGATAGGGCTTTGAGCAGTTCTTGAGGCAACTTGGAGGAAAGGCCTAGAGACTTCTGAAAGATCCCAGAGATGAGTGTGCAGCCAGAATCAACCCCCTGGCACCTGGGGTAGCATCTCTTACACATCTTTCTCAGAGCTTCACACAGACGCACTCATTTCATGCTCACAGCAGTCGTGTGATGTAGGCACCACCACCTTCCCTCCCTGAAGGCGAGGAGGCGCCAGCAGAGAAGTGAGGAGTACAGGGCGGCACATCACGGGGCAGCACTGAAACCCCGGTCTGCCCTGTGTGCCAGCCTGAGGTCTGAAACAGCACCCCCGACTCTCCCTGCTGGCCAAAGCAGGGTGTTCCCTCCAGATTGCCTAAGTGCATTGCTTTGTGTGGTGGAGAGGGGAAGGGGGTGCCAACAACATTGTTTTAATATATATGTTTATACACCCACACAGTTTTCAATCCAGTGTCTTCAACCACAAGCACGCTCCTGAAGCCACGCTCTGGGCTCTGGCCTCCTGAGACCCTCCCGAGAGCCCAGGCCTGGCACAGTCTTGGCAAACGGCACCCAGCAGGAGGCAGCCAAGAAGGGGCAGGGTGCAGCCCAGGGTCTTCACATGGGCCCAGAGCTCTGCTGCACCCTCTTCATCAGCTCTTCATCCTGCATGGACAGCTCCGTCAACTTTTTGCCCATCCGCTCGTGGATGTCCAGGTACTTGGAGACACACCTGTCCAGGCAGACAGACTCGCCCTTGGACAGTTCAGCTTCCTTGTAGTGGGGAGGCACGCACTTCCGGTGGCAGGCACTGGTCATTCTGCAGAGGGCAGGGAGGGAAGGCGTGGCAAAGTAGATTCAAAGTGCCCTGTAGTAACCAGGACCCCCACCCATGGTGGCTCTGGCTGAAGACTTCCCCTTCCATGTGGACCTCGGCCACCCCCCTGAGGCCCTTGGGGGGGGGGGCAGCTGAGTAAATGCATGTGCAGTCACATGCATTTGGGAACTAGAGGTCTAATCAGGAAAAAGAGGAAGGCCCTCAATCAGATGGGCGGGCACAGTGGCTGCAACAGCGGGCTCAAGCAGAGTAATTGTGAGGATGGCGCAGGACCAGGCAACGTTTCGTTACATAGGGTCACTAAGAGTCAGAATCCACCCAACAGCAACTAACAATGGGAGTCTTAGTAGAATTCTCGCCTTCCGGTTTGACTCCTGCCAGTGCACTTCATGTCAGCCATCTGTCAGTGGAGGCTTACATGTTGCTATGATGCTGAACAGGTCTCAGCTTCCAGACTAAGGGAGATTAGGAAGATAGCCTGGTGATCTAATTGGG